TCATATCCTGGAGCAGTACCGGATCGAAAGCTGCTACAAATCTCAGTGACTTCTTGTTCTAAAATATGCTGATTTTCCTGCTTGCTTGCTTGGCCGCCTTGAGCTTCTCCAAATGAGGTTTCCTCTTTTCAAGCGTCGCTTGCGAAAGATCTTCGCAAATAAACAGTCCTTCTGGTTTTTCCTTTCTTGCCTTTCTTACTACAGCTTCTTTCTGCTTCCAACTACTCAGTCGGCACACAATAACTCTTGGCTTTGCATCAGCTTGGTGTTGATTGATTCCTCCAGACTTTCTACGCTCAACACGGTGAGCGCGCTCGATGTCAACTTCAATGATGAGCTTCTCCTTGATGGCGCCCACGAGCTTCGATTTTAAGGACGACAAATCTCCGACATCCTTTTGTGTAAATTCAAGGCTTGCTTTGAGAGACGCGACTGAGTCTGCCAACTTATCGACTCTTGCATTGACGGTGGAGATAAAGGAATCGAAAAGCGTTTTAAGCATGGACTGCTGAACATCAAGCATTTGCTTCAGTGTAGCAATGGAGACTAATTCTCTTTCATCTTTAAGAGTTTCCAAGTTCAACTCGTCCGCTGCAGCATCAGACGATTGATGTTTCTTTGGTTTCCGCATGAAAATAATTCCTCTGTAAATGTTTAAACTAAGACAAAATGCTAATAGAAATGTTTAAGCTAAGACAAAAATCCAGTAGAAGAAATGCAAAGAGAAAAACAGTACAAATTGACGGAGCTGAAAAATACACGTCCGCTCGCCATGCGTGTCATCAACTGCCAGTTTTAAAGTGCCAGGTTTAAACTAGTGATCGATTATCGACAAAATTTTGAACAACTTAAACAAAAGTCTCTCACCAATTTGTCAAGATAAATAGAAGTCCAAGATGAATCCGGAGTGTTGTTCCCCAAGGTAAATCCCAATGGGCGACTCAGAACCTTCACATATTCCTTACAACATGGCAAAAGAAACATAGCTGTTAGTATACTATCTGTACAGATTTTCGAAAAGGTGTATTGTGAAACTTACACCATTTGAACACAACAAGGCCAAAGGAGAAGGGATAGAGGAAAAACGCGCCGTAAATTTTGGCTACTTAGGATATAGTTTTAGAATGACAAAATGGATGACCAACAGCGTCTTTAACCTATGGTACAGGATCCTTTTTCAAAAGCTCAATTAGATGACTCCCCAAAGTGAGGTACTTGAGGGGTAAAAGACCCAAACAGCAGTTTTCCAATCAGAGTGGCCCATTTTACAACATTAACAGAGTTCTGAGAAAAATTCTAACTGGATTTTTAAACACATCTGTAGTGAAAAATTGAGCCATATTGTGACGAGAAACAGGCATAATTCAATCTTTTCAATGGAGAGAAATTAAGAGGCAAACAGCGGACGAGACACCGCCATTTCAGAGTAGGGATCGACCTCTCTGAAACGCCGACCAAATTAACATTAAATTCCTACTCCTGTAGACAAAAAGTAGTTCAAGTAGTTTATTCAATAAATTCCCGCAACTGCGTTAACCCTAGTAAGAACCAGCAAGTTATTCTCCTTAACAGAGACAGTCCGCAGTAGCGGGGTACTGCGGGAACGTTTTATGCACCTATCCATGTAAACTCCGTGGGGGGGGGGGAGTGCGGGCAAGGGGTGGGGATTTGACAAATTTTAAAATTTTTCGATCAAATTCCCCAGGGTGGGAAACGAAAGGTCAATCAAAAGTGTCAAAAAAGCCCTCATCCCAGGGGAAAAAATCTAAACAAACAATGCTATAATACTATATAAAACGAATAAAAGCACACTTCAAAAGTACGTTCTTACTACTTTTATTTACGGTTAACGGAAGCTCCATTAAATTACTCGCTGTAATTAAGTATTTTCTCTCTCCAATAGCATCTCTTATCTTGAACAACAAAATCACTCCAGGAAGATTGACCGTGCTATATAATATTAATAAAACGTAAAATACTTATAACATTTGCTCAACATGTCGGAACAGGTCGGATCAGTGACCCATAAAAAATCCTCTGACTTTCATGTTGGAATTCGATTTCAATCGAGTTTTACAATCAGATGGGAACTTGAAGATAAAAACTTTCGCAAAAGAGACATTATCTGTTATTAAAGATGACAGTTTAAAGTATCGGATTATGGCGATTAAAGCAAAGGAAAACTTCATACCTTTCTCCAACAGCGTGACTTTCAGGAAGCCTCGAGGGACGGACTTGGTAACTGCTTCTGAATTGATACCAGGCTTCTGTCGGTCAAAGTCAAATGTCCCGACCCCGGGGGCGCTTCGCACGATCAAAAGCCCGACAGCGGGGATAGTCCCAGGCATCAAATCCCCACCCCTTGCCAGCACTCCCCCCCCCCCCACGGGATTTACATTGATGGGTGCATTACATTGCTGAAAAACACCATCTTTATAGAGATAACATGTCTAGAAAGTTTGTCAGTTAGAGGCAGAGAAGATTTGAATTGATAGGCAACAAAAAAGCGTTAAACTAACTAGAAAGATAGATAATGATATAAAATCCAATTCAAAGAAATAGATCTTTCTGCTGTCTAACTGTTCAAGGATCGATGCTGCTCGTTATCCACTACAATCGACTCACGATAACTCGAACTTTTTTCGATTTCCCTTGAAGGTTCGAGTTATCGGGAGCTCAAGCAAACAGCCGGAAGTAAGGAAAAACCAGTTTTTACTCACCTCGGAGACCCAGGGGCAGTTAGTCGTCACCACGAACATTTTCTCGTCCGACTAACTGCCCCTGGGTCTCCGAGTATGGTTCTTACTGTACAGTGAGCATTTTAATCACATTTAATTGTAGAAATGTCGAGAGAAAAAGGAGCGATTCTTCTACGTTATAATCAGAACGTAACGTAACAAAAACATAGCCTAGTAAATTGTATGCGTTATACTGTTTTAAGAAGTAAAGCTGTTTCACGTTAGATTTGTAACAAACAACATCAGCCTTTACTAACAACCTATATGCCTACAACACGTCAAAGGGAAATTCAAACTACAATGTTTCGGACGCCAGTACCCTTTTTTTTCGACTTTTTAAGGGCTCAAAACATGGTTTGAGTTATCGAGGGTAAAATTATATAGAAATGACCTGAGGGAAAACAAAACTACTTCGAGTTAGGGGGAGGTTCAAGTTGTTGAAGGTTCGAGTTACCCGCGAGGGTAAAATTAGAGAAAAAGTATGAAGGAAATCCAGGGGAAGTCGATTTTGGTTCGGGTTAGCGAGGATTCGAGTTATCGAGAGTCAATTGTATGTATATAAAGAGCTGAACCAAAACAATTGAGAGCCGAAAAATGTGTTCGTACAGGTCCCTACAAGCATCTTTCACTCAAACATCTACAATTAGTGGCGGCGAAGATCCACAGCTACTCTCCGCAAGACAAATGTTGAGTGTATTGAAAAGCAAGCTATACGTACTGTTGGGCTGGTACACCCCAGTCCCCCACCTTAGGGTGACCGGTTTATCTGGATACATACAAGAACCTTTTCTCTGACATCAGACAAAGTTTTAATCCTGAGGTTTATCTGGATACTTACAAGAACCTTTTCTTTGACATCAGACAAAGTTTTGATCCTGAAGAAGCAACCTCAATAGAAATCAATCACTTGATTTTAATAACTGGCATTTAATAATATATTGTTAATTATAGTAACACCGAAAGGACAATAGCCATCTCTAAAGGAAAATAAATTCATTGAAGGTAAAGTGTACATTTTAAATTGACCGCACTGATAATTTACAACATTTTATATAAAAATTATCTGATCTAGAATGAAGCCATTGTTACCAATATTTAGACTTGGTTATAAAGTGCAATATGGTAAGGCAATACCTCTGTACTTTGATGTGATTTGTTTTAGTGAGGAATCGCTGGCACTTTTTTCGCTTCCAACTAGGTAAGTAAACACACGAATCTGCAGAAAGTATCAAATTCAATTTTACAAATGCAAACCAAACACACTATACCACTTACAGACAATGAAATCATCTCTAATAACTGATAGTTTCATTTTATCATTTTGCTCTTGAAAGCAAACACGACAAACATAAAACAGGTTTTCGGGCCCAAAAAGTTATCGCGGCTTTCGAGAAACGGGCTCCAGGACTGCTTTTATGATGTTGTTTACTAAGCTGGTTTTCGATGCTCAATCATGCACAGAGGGCAATTTAAGTCTTTGGGTTTGGAAGTGGCACTGCCCCTCGACTTTCTTGAGAAACAATTCCACCAAACCCTAGGGATAAATAAGTTCTTTGGAAGGATGTAGTGGCGGGACTTTTCTGGCGTGGCTTAATTTTGGCCTAACAAACAAAGGTTTTCACATCTGATCTCAAATATCTGAAATGTTATTTTGACCAGGTAACTTTTTGGTAGAGGAACGACGACTATACTTAAAGGTTTTTCTATCAGAATAGTTCCCCTACACGAACAAGTAGGTAAATCAAGTGCTTTCCAAAGCCTGTTTAGTAGAACTTTTAGAATATTTTCCATATGCCAGTTTAGAAATACATTTTTGCTTGTTTCCTCAGTCCATATTTTGCACTTCGTTTAGAGCAAAATGGAAAGCTACGCCGCTGTCTGTCATTTCGTGGCACACAGAAGAAATTTGTCAACTTACAACTGACTGGCAGGCATCAATCTGTCAGTGCCGGCTACACTGCACCAATCAGACACTCCATTTGCTGACATATGAAGTTTCCCAACAAAACAATGAACGCTGGTACTCGAACAGGTGTACTTTCTTCTCCCTACCCTCCCACAACCACCTTCTCTTGCCCCTAAGGGTTGCCACTTCTATAAATTCAAAGATAACGGCCACGGTAATACGAATATGAACAAGCAGCTTTTGAATGCCCCAAAAATACGCCTGCACTGCAGACTGATGACGTCACAAGCGGCACAACCTTAAAAAAGATTGCTAACTGAAAGTGCTATTAAACCAATAAATGCACATAAAACACATACCTTTTTGTCCCCATTTCGTTCCTTTAATGTATCTTTAGTTTTTGTGGCCTCGTTATCCTCAATCCCATCTGTGAAAAGAATGATTGCTTGTGTGCAATTCGAGGATGTGTACTTCTTTTCTTCCCGGGATTCCTACAGAATGATTAAAAACCAAACGTTACCTTATAAGAGAAACCAGAGGCCAGATAAGAAGATACTGTAAGAATTATCTCAAAAAATGGTGTATTAATTGTTGTCAAAGCCTTTCCTTCCCTTGTCCTTGATATTCATTAGCAGCAATCCTTTTCAGGACTACACTCATCAGACAATCATATTCCACCTACTTATAACATAATGGTTTACAGTCAAGTCGCCCGAAGTTATATATGTCGCCCGAAACCAGAGTTATGTCGCCCCAAATTTTTAGTCAAGTCCCCCGAAAATTTTATCATGCTTAGCAACAGCCTAACATCGCGCTTGTTTCGTGTCATCAAATCTTTAAAAACAAGATATATTACTCATTTGACGGGCTGGTTTCGTTTCATCAAGGCTAAAAACGAGGTATATTACATACACTCTTCATTACAATTTCGGGCGACTTGACTAAAACTTTCGGGCGAGATGACTTTCGGGTGACTTGACCGGTTACCAACCAAATCCCTGGTCAATTCAGAAAGTAAAAGGGGCAATGTCGTGTGATTTGCTATCGTTTTAAAAACTGACAGCTTTTCCCTCTTCAAATGGAATTCCAAAAACAATGGTCAAGTTTTGTTTTTCAAGACTATAGTTAGGTATTGAAACTGTTTCCTGTCGTCTGTTGGAAAGGATGGAAAGGATATGGACGTGGATTGAAGAACTTGAAAAAATTGGAAGTTTTAATGCTATGCCTGCAAAGATCTCCAAAAATATTCTAATGATTACTGCTTCCCGATGAAATTGTTTGAGTAGGGGTAAAGGCAGTAAGACTATGACTTCAGCACAGCATTGACCTAAAACAGCAGCAATATTCTTTAAACCCCTGAACTGAGTAAGATGAATAATAGACTAGCTAAAGAAAATGATTTGTTAAACATTTACAGTACACCCAGTTCATTCACAATGTTCAGACAAGACAATGATATTGTTTTCACAAACAATCATGTTCCAGGGGTGTAGCCAGGATTTTTCAAAGGGGGGGTCACAGAGGCTACTCACCAGGGACACCATCCGGGGATCGCCGACTATATATGGTTTATACCGCTGCTCTCTCTCGTGTATCAGCGGGCTCAGTCGTATTATCGCGGCATGAAGGCTCATATTAACTTAAGACAAGAGCCGTTGACGAAAATACTTTACAAAAAGACAAATATTTAAAAAGTGGGCTTTTCAACAATGGCTCTTACGGCCAAGATATTGTCATGGCGTTTTCGCCACCTGAATATTGTAGGTTGTCTGCTCAAAAGAAGGCCTACCAAGGGGGGGGCACGGGCACCCCAGGACCCCCCCTAGCTACGCCCCTGTGTTCAATGAATTTTAAAGTACCTTCAGTATACGTATGGCTTTTTCAAATCCACCGTTGACTGCTGCAATCCCACGGGCTTTGGCATTTGCAACAAAATGCTTTAAAAACTGGTAGAAAAACGCGAAAAGATTAAGTTTGCTTCATGGATTGTTGTTAGCATGAATGCAGATAAAGAAATACTGTCATTTAGTTCTCAGCATTCAAAGTATTAGTTATTCTTGATAAAATGATTTCTTTTTTAAAGACTGCAGTATTACTCATCATTATTAATTTAATGATGGGTCAACATCCATTTTATATGGAGCAATGATAACAACTAATGCTATAAGATAAATTACCATAAAATTCCTAAAATAAGCCCCTTCAAATATAAGCCCCCCAAACTCGCAACGCAAAAAACCCTCCGTTAAATCGCCCCTCCAAATATAAGCCCCCCCGGTGGTTGTATTTGGAAATTGCCCTCAAATACAAAGTAAAACAATTAAAGGAAAAACAGTAAATTTCCTTCCAACTATAAGGCTAGCCCAATCAATTTTGAAACGCAATTTCCCTCCGTAGATAAGCCCCTCCAAAAATAAGCCGCTCAGAAAGGGCGTTTGAAAAATACAAGCCCCAGGGCTTATTTTCGGAATTTTACAGTATATTAATGATGCCAATAACTCTGTAGCTTCAGTCAAAATCGCTCCATTTCTTTCTTAGACAACAAATCTGACGCACCTTTTTGTTTTGTTGAGTAGCTTGTAAAAGGTGGTCTGAACAATCTGCATCCTAAAACAGTGAACAAATTAATCCATTAAATGCTCTAGTGTAAACAAATATTTAATATTGTTATTCATTCAAAATATTTCCCCAATTCTGATTGGCTAAAAGCACATTTAAAATGGCACAATTAAAATCATTTTATTAGTATATAATGGTGTGAAGAAACTTTATTTGGCACATTTTCATAATCAAAAAGCAAAGATGTGTACAGCCACATGACAAAAGAAGTTTCAATGTTTTTGTTTCTTTAATTATGTGGTACAACCAATCCAATTGCATGAATAACAAGAACGCGCTTACAGCGATAATCAGTCTCGCTTGCTTGGAGATTAGATCGAGAAATGAGGAGGCGATTAATTCTACACGAAACAGGATTTTCTCGCAAAAAGTTTTTTACTTCCTACTTTATCGACGTCGGTACTTTTTACTTGTTTCTGAATTGATTTAGTACGCGTGTTAGCGACGACCGGAAATACGTCTGGGGTCGCAGGCCATACGCGTGTATAAATACGCGAAAATTCAGGGGCCTCAATTCCAGAGAAATTACATCATTGCCAGAGATCAAAAAAGTGATTTACATGGCACGTCATTTCAATCATCGCCGAAAATAAACCGCATGCTTATTCAAGACTCATTTGCATACAATGAAGTTTAAAACACCCGACCATCGCAGTTTTGCTGGTGGACCGACATGTTTCGGAAAAGCTCTAAATTTAATATTTCCTAAACATGCGTGGCTTCGATCACGCAACGATTCTTAGTCCCAGTTTCCACGGTCTCCGCAAGGAACGCCTGGCAGAATGGCCCCCCATTTGTGTACAAGATACGACGAAAAACGCTTTGCAGATTATGAGTCTCGCTGCTTACGCAAGCGAGACGAAGTACTAAGGAAGGCAAAAACTTGCAACGTTAACACAACATTGACTGCAACTTTGCTTACTTCATTCCTAGGCCCAAAGGGAAATTACCCGACATAAAATAACATTAGACTTTCCATAAAACATCAAATGCAACCACACTTTTTTATTACCCTTTTTGTCAGCCTTTCAAATTACAAACTTACTGCACTAATTAACTTACAAGGCAGCTAGTAACTGCTCATTAGGGAAACTAGAACTGCTAAAATTTAAGCAATGAAAACGTTAGGGAAGTCAAGCAAGGTACTTGGCAACAAGAATCGGGGTCATTTAACCACCTATTTTAATTTAAAAGCTCTTATTAAGCTTGTCCCAGGTTTTGAGTGGCACAATTGGCTGCATCAAGGGCTACTAGTCCAGGGGCGGATCCAGGAATTTTTGACTGGGGGGTCCAAACTTTGGTTCGGAAAGGACTGTCTGTGAACACCGGTCGCCGTTGACGCGGGAAATACTTTGCGAGCAGAGGCGAACAGATCATAGGAGGGTACCAAAAAACAATTAAATTTTTGAATATCTGCGGAATTTAGTGGCAAAATGCAACGCGCATTTCATTAAGAAAAAATGAAAAGTGAGATACGATCCTGTCGATGTAAGAATTCTAGTCTCAAACAAGGGTCAGGTCTGATAGCAGGGCCCGGACCCCCTGGACCCTCCCCCTGGATCCGCCACTTGTCTCCCTACTAGTAGTGAGGGACGTCACTGGGGAACTCAAAGGATGCCGCCGCCGCCGCTATTGTTCTTAGTTGTCAATCAAAGTTCTATTGTTTAAGACTCATCAAAAATTCGAAGAGTGTTCGGAACTTAGTTACTTAAACATCGGTAAAGATGAACTTATATATGTGGAGGCAAGTCATGACTCACCCTTGTGGGACAGAATGTGTCTTGTGTACTACGCATGCGCAGTATCGAATCTTGCGTAAAAGGGATCGAACCTGAAATCTTCTGATGTAGTGTCAGATGTGTTACCATTACACCACTGAGTCGCATATAGTGAGAAGTATTTTATTTCGTTTTTCTAAGAAATCGTTTACAATTAGCGCATAAAGCTTCCATTTCGCCAGCCCCAATCCAGACAACTTTGTTTAGGTCTGCCGCTTTCTTTTCAGCTGCCCTCTTCTTCTCTCTTTGTTGCCTTCTCATCTCTTTTCTTTTGAGGCTTTGAATATACTCTTTGAGGGTAAGAATATAAGTTTCTTTGAGTTTTAAAATAGCCTTGACATGTTTTAATTCTGCTTGACAGCCAAACCAAGCTTCTTCGAGTTCTTTAGTTCTGGACGTCTTTAAAGCGCGAGCCTTCTAAAAGTTCCCAGAATGTGTGTCTAGTTTATAAGTTCCAGTCAGTGGTTTTGTATGCTAATTCATGTTTGCTTCAAATTTGCATGAGAACTCGCTGAGTCAGCTATTTTGCTTTTAGGTCTTAGAAAAAGAAAGACCTGAAAGAGAGAAAGATTTGAACCCGTAAGCTTTAACGTAATGAAAAGTTACCTGGCGTCGGTACTAACGCTTTGCGCTAAGCCCGTTCCGACGAAAGTTTACTGCAAAATAAACTAGTCTTTCTCATTATTGGTAATTGACTTTTAATCATTTGGTGGTTCCTAAAAGAACCGTTTTGTCATAAGACAATTAGTAGGATCTGTTTTTCCTACTTAGAAATTGACAATAGTACGCGAAGTTAAATGGGTAGGCTGAAATTATTTGCCATTTCTCGCGAATAATACACCGCTATGTGTTTGGCAGGAAAGCCTTCCGGATCTGTACCAATTTGCCGGTTTAGTTTAAACACGAACAAATAAAAGCGTCCATGGTATTCGTTCCAGCCCTCGTGTATTACGGAGACGTCTTCGTGATGTTCCCAGGTGAGTTCGGAGACAGCCTTTAACAAATCGACTAAATCGATTTGTGATTCAAACTTAGAGGCTCTCAAATGTTCGTTTTTAAAAACATGCCTCTCGTTAATATGGTCTGCTTGTTCTTGCGTTAGGAAAGTTCCCTCGGTTTCAAAAGGCGAAGCCATCGTTGAAAATAAAATTTTTTCTGGTTCATCTTAAAACAGATTGCAAAACAAAAAGAGTTGAACTTGAAAAAGAGCGAAAAGGGGTATTGTTTTTTGCCGACTTAAAAGAGCGGTGCGCTAAAGTTTAGAACTTGAAAGAACGGCGAAAAGTTAATTGGTTTTTGCCGCGCTACATTTGTGGTCTCCGCGCCAATGAGCGTGAATATGACATGAATAGTATAAAGGAAGGGTGAATTTGGTTAAGTCACTTTACTCTGCTCATCCCAGTGTTAAGATCAACGTTTACGTTACTCAAGATGAAGACTTTATACCAACTCGCCTTACAAGCAGTACCCAAACCTGGGTTCATGGCCGAGACCTTTTTAGTCCCCCACCATCCTGCTGCCAGAGATTTACAGACGCTACAATACACCCAAGACAGAGATAGATATAGAGAAGAACATCGCGTCCTTTTCAGGTTTGTCTACGCAGATTTGTGTTTTATCGAAACCATGTTTTCAAACTCAAAAATATATCCAAGGGATGTTGCGTTTTTAAATCGATTGTGGAAACAAATTGACGATTTACTTGAGTGAATGTTGTGTTTTAGACCGATTCTGGAATCTCTGTTTGGATTAAAGACTGCACCTGGTTAAGTGTTGCATGATTGAACTGTAAACGTGTTTTTAAACGCGCTTGTTGACTGTTATATTTTAGAAATACTATAAACGCCTTAAAACTTCGAAGATGGAACACGTATTGTCACAAAACGGAGTGGGTTGCTGTTAAGTATCAAAAGTAAGGAGAAGATTCAAGATGCCCACATTGTAAACGAATTAGAACAACTCGTTTAACCTTAGACGATTTACGATTGCAAAGGCAAAAGAAATTTGTGGATAAGAATGCGGAGGCGCGTTTAATTCAAAAGTATTACTATTCGCCTATTCGTAGACGCTTAGAATTGTAAATGTTTGTTTGTTTCATCTCTTTAGAAAATGTTTGCGTCAACTAAAGAACCGTCATTTTTGTAGATCAGCCCAATGGGTTTCATTTAGTCGAGAAACCTGTTCTCAGTGTCTTAGAATTGCCGTGGAAGGTTTGAGCGTGGAGGGGCAAATGAAACATGGCCGCTATGAAAGAGTGAATTTTGAAAGTGAACGGCACAAAAATTTTTAAGTTATATACGGGTACTCCAATTTTAGAAAGACGTGAGATACTTGAAGATAGAATAATGCAATCTCTTGGTTTGTTTTTATAGAAAAGTGTTACAGGACATTCGTTTTTCACCTTGTAATCCTTTTACGGAGTGGATTGAAATGAACCAGCAGAAAACTGATTTTCGAATTACCGTGTTAAATGTAACCTTGGATGATTTAAAGTTAATAGACGAACCTTTTTTTCCGCATATTACATCCATGATCGAGCGCTTTGAGCGAACCTACGCTCACTTAAAATTAGATTTTCCTTGGTTTTTTCAAGATTATCAAGATGACTTTGTTGGACCAGATTCATTAGGAATCTGATATGTTCCAGTTTGTAAATAAGAAGAAAGTGCTTTGAAAAGGACTTTAGCCGACTAGCGGTTAAAATACGATCCTCTCATTGCATTTACTAAGAAAGTTATTGTAACATTTTACCGAAGGGAGGTAAAATGTAAATAAAAGTTAAGTTTGCGTGTAATTTACTTGTGTCTTTTGGGGAAAGAGAAATGAACTGAACTGTCAAATGAACGTTCAGGCAGGGAGGGGTTTTTCTTAGAACTAATGAACTGAACTGTCAAATGAACGTTCAGGCAGGGAGGGGTTTTCTGAGAACTAATAAACTGAGCATTGTCAAATTCAGGGAAAAGAACAAAGAGTATAGCTGACTCAGCCAAACAATTTTGTGCAGTCTTGAACGGCTTTTTGAAATCCTCATTAGAACGTTCTTTTGTTTATGACGCCTGGATGCAAATCGAATCACGTATTTAACTTATTCGCGTCTCTTTGAGCGTCATTCAGTTTATTCTGTGTTACCGTGCTGAGCTTTTTGGCTAAATCAATTTTCGAAAACGATGGATCCCTATATTCTTGCTTTAATGAACGACTCGCTTGATTCCTGGCTGGCAGATGTGCCCCACTGGACATCTAGTCAAGGAGAAGAATTAATGGATTCGGACGATGAAAACGAATTGCTCATCGCCGCGCGCCGTGCAGATCAGCATGGTGGGAATCCGTTATGTGCCGTGAACATGCAGCGAGTGAGAGCGCCCCGTTCATTTCACCGTGGCGTGGCCCTCCAAATGCAAGTCCGATTTTCTCTAGAGCAACTACGCCCACCGAATGGAGAATATCAGGGAGAAGCGGTTGCAGAAGCCTTCCACCAAGGGCTAATTAATTTTATCCGCGATCCTCGCAATGGCATTGTAAACCCTGACGAGTATTCTATGTTGATGGCGATCCATCACAGCAATGGAACTCATACCTGGACCAGTTGTCCTAGAGTTCCCCTGAGCGAGTGGCTTCAAGGTTCGCCCCTCGCGCGCCAGTGGTTGGAAAAGCTCGCAAAACAACTGAACTCGGCGGAAAGTTTTGATGCTGCAAGCGGCGAATTTTTCGCAGAACTGTCTTTTTTTAAGACCCAGCAATGGGGGGGAAGACCGGCCAGAAACAAGCCAGGCAACAAATCGTTTGAGCAGTTGCTCAATAAACGATCCGTGATTACCATTAAGAACAAAGATGAACTTTGTTTCGCCCGAGCCTTGGTGTCCGCCAAAGCCTTTGTGGACCAAGACCCAGAGTATAAAAATATTTCTCAAGGACGCGGACTGCAGGGTCATCTTGCCTACAAACTGCATCAAGAAGCCGGGGTTCCTGAAGGACTGTGCGGTCTGCCGGAAATTCAGAAAATGCAAGAACATCTTGACCCTCAAGGGTACCAAATTAAAATCTTTGAAGGAATCTGCGGCGCTCTTTGGTATTGCAATGAATCGTTTGATTCGGCGCCTAAAAAACTGTGTCTACTCAAAGTAGAACAACATTTTCACGGGTTACGAAGTGTACCCGCTCTCCTAAACAAGGGTTATTACTGCCACCAATGTAACAGAGGTTACAGTTAAGCACCATAATTGTTCTCGTCAAAACTGTGACAAGTGCCGAAGAAAAAACCCCAAAGTCTGTTCGCGTATTCTGTAAGGATTGCGGTCAAACCTTTTACGGACAGAACTGTTTTACCGCTCACAAAACAAAGCTGTGTCAGCGATTCAAAAAGTGTCCCGAGTGCTGTAAAACGTACAAGTTTTCAAAGAAAAAGAAACATGTGTGTGGTGAACATCGATGCCCCAATTGCAAAAGCAAAGTGTTGCCGAATCATCAGTGCTACATACAGCCCCTTGAAATGGACTTTAGCAATCTTCTCGACCAGGCCGATGAAATGAACGAAAAAGACCGCGCGATTTTAGAAGATATGGCCGAAGCCGCGGAAAAAAGTGAAAAAGAGAGGACGAAGAACCGCCCCCGCTGGTGTGTTGCATTGATTTTGAATGTGCAGTCGATGAAAATAAGGATTTTGAGGATGTTCGTGTGGGCTGGCAATATGTGAATGTGGAAGGCAGCTACCGCGAAGCAGGCAAGGCGATGGATATGTTGAGTGATGTGATGTCAAAAACGGTCATGGCTGAATTGAAAGAACGGAAAGTTTTTGTGTTTGCGCATAATATGCGAGGCTTTGATTCCTCGTTTATTTTGCAGTTGTTGTACGATAAGGGCTACAAGGTGGAAAAAGTGTTAAGTATGGGGGCTAAATTTTTATCGTTTCAGTGTGGAAATATGATTTTTCGGGATTCTTTGAATTTTTTTAACATGCCCTTGGAACGCTTGCCGGCTACGTTTAATTTGAAGGAAGCGCATAAGGGTTTCTTCCCTTATTCCTATATTTCGGAGGACAAGATTGATTACATTGGCGAGTACCCCAAAGCAGAAGATTATCATCCAGAACGTATGAATGAAAAACGGCGAAAAGAATTTCTTCGACTGTCAAAAAGAACTGTCCGCTTATTTGAAAAGCGATGTGCAAGTCTTAACCCAATCCATGGAAACATTTGCAAAAGAAATGAAGGAACTGACAGGTATAGACCCTACGGTGGAATGCGTCACCATTGCCAGTACCGCTTTTAAAGTGTTTCAAAAGAAGTTTTTGGAGCCGTACACCATTGCCTTGGAACCTCTGGGTGGCTGGCGTCACAACCAACAAAATCAGAGCGTGGAGGCCTTGCAGTGGCTGGAATTCGAAAACACCAAGATTGGTGGCGGTATTCAGGTATGATTTTGTTAAGTTGCAGTGTTTTTCCACACTTAAGTTTTTTAGTTGCAGTAAAAGTCTCCACATTTGAATTTGAACACGCAGTGTTTTACCGCAAATTTCAGTTCGTGAATTGTTTACGACTGAGCAAACGTGAGTGCATGCTTTCATTCAAAAAGAACAAGGATTTGTATGGGAAATGTGCTTAAAAAGTCTGCACTTAAGAAAATTTATTTGCAGTGTTTTACTGCATTTTTCAGTTGACGAACTGTTTACTACGGTGCAAATAGGATTGCACGATCGAAAAATTATATTCTGCGGACCGCGCAGGAAACAATAATATTATTTTTTCTCTTTTACAGCAGATGTGCGGTCACACACGCGAGGAACGTATGCTGAAGGGAACCTGGTGTACTCCTGAACTCCAAAAAGCCGTGGAGAAAGGTTACCAGATCCTAAAAATCCACGAAGTCTGGCACTTTCCTGAAGAAAATCGTCGCCAAGGCCTATTTGCAGGCTACGTCAATACCTGGCTAAAGCTGAAACAAGAGGGCGCTGGTTGGCCTACCGGAGTTGAAACCCCAGAGCAGAAAGCCGAGTATGTGAGACGGTATGAACAACATGAAGGAATTAAGTTGAACCCTGACAAGATAGCCGTGAATCCTGGGAGGAAAAGTATTGCAAAATTACTTTTGAGCAGGTGAGTCATGTTTTTCCACACTTAAAAATTAACTTGCAGTAAAATTCTGCACATTTTAAAGTTAACTTGCGGTGTTTTACCGCAAATTTCAGGTCGCGAAATGTTTGTGACTGTGCCAATAGGATTGCACGCTTGCATTAAAAAATAACAAGGATTTGTATGGGAAATGTGCTTAAAAAGTCTGCACTTAAGAAAATTTATTTGCAGTGTTTTACTGCATTTTTCAGTTGACGAACTGTTTACTACGGTGCAAATAGGATTGCACGATCGAAAAATTATATTCTGCGGACCGCGCAGGAAACAATATTATTATTTTTTCTCTTTTACAGCATGTACGAAATTCCTTGGAGGGTGAAGTCAAAGTGATCACCCCTGCTCAATCGTACAGTGTGGATGGGTTTCACGCAGCCAGCAATACCGTCTACGAGTATAATGGGAGCATTTTTCACGGCTGTCGAAAATGCTACCCTAAGCAAGGAAACCTGAAACGCTTTTGCCATCCTGACCGAACTGTCCATGAAGTCTATGGAGCAACGCTAAAGAAAGCGGCCATCCTTCGTGAGGCGGGGTACAACGTAGTGGAAATGTGGGGGTGCGACTTCGCAAAACAGAAAGAAACAGATCCAGAGTTGGTGGAATTCTTGGAAACTTTCCATTACGTCCTGCCGCTTGAACCGCAAGACGCATTCTTTAGAGGGCGAACGGGAGCCGCGACCCTTTACTCAAAAGCTGGTGAGGATGAGGAAATCAGCTATGTGGATTTCACATCCCTGTACCCAAGTATCAACAAGTATGGAACGTATCCTGTTGGTTTCCCTCAGATCATTTATCAACCCCAAAACCAGAATATTAGCGAGTACTTTGGCATCGCGCAAGCCAACCCTTTGCTAGAACGGAGCAATATGTGCGGTCACACACGCGAGGAACGTATGCTGAAGGGAACCTGGTGTACTCCTGAACTCCAAAAAGCCGTGGAGGAAGGTTACCAGGTCCTAAAAATCCACGAAGTCTGGCACTTTCCTGAAGAAAATCGTCGCCAAGGCCTATTTGCAGGCTACGTCAATACCTGGCTAAAGCTGAAACAAGAGAGCGCTGGTTGGCCTGCCGGAGTTGAAACCCCAGAGCAGAAAGCCGAGTATGTGAGACGGTATGAACAACATGAAGGAATTAAGTTGGACCCTGACAAGATAGCCGTGAATCCTGGGAGGAAAAGTATTGCAAAATTACTTTTGAACAGGTGAGTCATGTTTTTCCACACTTAAAAATTAACTTGCAGTAAAAGTCTGCACATTTTAAAGTTAACTTGCGGTGTTTTACCGCAAATGTCAGGTCGCGAAATGTTTGTGACTGTGCAAATAGGATTGCACGCTTGCATTCAAAAATAACAAGGATTTGTATGGGAAATGTGCTTAAAAAGTCTGCACTTAAAAAAATTTATTTGCAGTGTTTTACTGTATTTTTCAAATGGTGAAATGATTACTACTGTGCAAACAGGGCTGCACGGTCGAAAATCAAAAATTATATTCTGCGGACTGCGCAGGAAACAATAACAAATGTCCATTTTTTTATTCTATCTTTCAGTTTAAGGGGCAAATTTGGTGAACGGCAGAACAAACCTGTAACACACTGCATTACCCAGCCTTCGCAACTCTTCCAGCTGTTAGAAGACCCTGTCAATGCCATTCACAGTGTGCGAATTTGCTCTGAGGACGTCATGGAGTTGGTCGTCACAAAAAACGAAGACGAATATCAGCGCTCGTTCAAGCAAAACGTGTTTATCGCGGCGTTCACCACTTCGCTCGCCCGTTGAAAGCTGTACGATGCCCCTGATTTTTTAGGTGACTGAGTCTTGTATTACGATACAGACTCGGTCATTTATAAAACCAAGCGGGGTCAAGAGAAGCTTCCTCTGGGAGAATTTTTGGGGCAGTTCACCGACGAGATTGAAGGCGACGTGATCGTCGAATTTTGCAGTGGCGGGGCGAAAAACTATGGCTACCCCACCAAGAAAGGTAAAACCGAATGTAAAGTACGCGGGTTTTCGCTTAATTACGAGACAAAACAAGTCTTAAATTATCACACGATGAAGGAAAAAATCCTGAAAGAATTGGATGAACCGCTGCAAAAAAGCACGTAAAATAGTGATTACCATTCCCGATTACTTTCAACGGGACCAAGTCACCAAGAAAATTAAACTGACAGAGCGTAAGAAACAGAATCAGCTGGTGTTTGATAAACGTGTGATTGACCCTGCCACTCGTTCTTCCACGCCCTACGGCTACAACTGGTTCGGGGGAGACGCTGAACTTTTAATGGACTTGTAAATAGTGCAGGTACGGTTTGCTTGGTAGCGCCAACCCGCTTTAGTTTTTTTTTTTTTGTATACAGTTTTTCATAGGGGCACAGTTGCTTGGTAGCGCGAACCCCTGAGAGGAACATTTGCATGCTTTCGTTTTTGAGATTAAATTAGGGTTTGTAACATTTCATCGAAGGGAGTTGAAATGACGTATTAAACTAAGTTCGCGATCCAATGGATTGGTGTGGTGTCTGTTTGTATAAATAGCGGGGGGATTTATACGGTCAAGTTACTTGTCGTAAGATGTCGAACGTTTACTTAACCCTCGTAAGCGATGTTACCAAAAAGTACGCGAGTAATGTAGCCAATCAGTTTAAAGTCAAACCACAGTTAAGGTTACCCGGGGAAGGATGGAAAGTATCCGTGGCTGGAGCTATTTTACCAAAAATGTCTTTATTCAAAGATTTACAAAGTGCGAACGTAAATCTAATCGAATTATGGGGTGAAACTGAAAAAGCAGGACAATCCGATACGTGGCGAAAGGGTTATTTGAAAGCAACCGATTTACGTGAATGGGAGAAAGCAGGAACATGTCATACAGGGGAAGAATTTTTCAATACCGTAAAACATAGACTAGAAGAAACAGCGCATGCTAGTTTGGATGACGGTTTTAAGTTTAGCTCAACGCGTTGGATTAACTTAGCCTGGGACAAAAAAGGAGTTCACCCGGAACTTGTCTTAACAAACACTACAACAAGTAATTTAATTTATATTTACAAACCGTTCGCCAAATATTTGCGCTGGATGAATCCTAAGACCAATCAACATGATAGCATGGGCCCCAATATGGTGCATAGCTACCCAAATCACACTAAAGGACCCACTTCTTTGAATAATGGAAAAGTGACCGACATTCAGGGCAATTGGCTTTGGTTAAGTACTCTTTCCGATTGGCGTTTTATTAACCTCAACCAATGTTTTAAAGATGCCTTAAATCTTCACCCCCGCCCGCTTAAAGTGACCGCAAACGTGACGGCCAACAAAGAAACCGTCACGCAATCCTTAGGACAAGTCTATTATGCGCCTGAAGGAAGACAGCGCTATGCGTTTACTCCCGTTCAAGAAACCTTTCAAGAGGTACGAGACAATCATTGGGAAGAAGTACAAGTACCCTGAAAGAACTGGATGGTACACTAGTTCAATTTCAATCGAATAGTCAGTGTGTGATTCAACTGCATTTTAAAAAAGACTGAGACAAATTAAATGTAACAACACATTTTATTAAGTGAATAAAAAACAGAATTACAGCTTAAGTTTGCGTTTTGTTTGCATGATCTTTTTAACAATCCGTTCTTGCATGGTTTTCTTGCCTGGGAGCTTTGAAATAGCACGAATCATTTTATCGTCCGCTTTCCACTTGTCCTGTAAATTTTTCACTTTGGAATAATCGATGTCATGGATTTTTGCTAATCCATCTAATCTGTTCACTCCTTGATCGCCTCTCCTTAGTCTTTTTTGAAGCTGAGTCCCTGGACCAAGATAATTCATTTTAGGCCAATGAAACTCTTTGCCTGTTTTTTCAATAAGCCTCTGAATATCCAACGCAGCCCCGCGCTGTCTGCGCTTTCTTTTTTTTTGCGGTCTTTTTCTGCGAACCTGTCTCTTACCAGTCTTTCCCATCTAATCGCCTTTTTGCCGGTGTCCCAAACGGTTTCCAACCTGGAGCAGGGGCAAGTTTCTTTAAAGCTCTTTCTTGAGCTCTTTGTGATGCTTCGTTAAATTTTTTTTCAATACTCTCCTGAGCTCTTTGAAAAGGGGATTTAGCGGGAACGTCTTCGTCCGCCGTACTAAAAACACCGGAAGGAGGGGAAGGAGTCTTTTTCTTTTTAGGGGTCTTGTAACCAGTGGAAGGAGTCTTTTTAGGGGTTTTGGGTAACAGCCGCTTTGCCTTGGATCCTGTCTTAAAAGTTAACTTGGGTTTGTCACTCGTAGAAGGAGTTTGTTTGACCACAGACGTTTGTAACACTGATTGAGGAGTGACCGGTTCTGCTTTCCTTTTTATAGCCTTACTGATTTTGGAAATATTTCCCATAAAATGTTGTAAACGGGCCTACGGCTAAATTTTCATCATCACTGTCGTCTTCATCACGACTTATTCCTCGCGTTCCTCCGGGTTGACGAATTTTCTTGACCCATTGTTATAATTCTCGGTTGACTAATTTTAAACGAGGTTCTTTCCATGTATCCGGGGCTGGACTCTCCAACAAAAGTTCTTTTTGAGCGGCTAAACCTGCTGCTTTGGTTAAACGGCTATCGTCTAAAAGATTATATTTATATTTATCTCGCAAGCGTAAAAATTGCACTGAGTTTTCAATTGGTGTGGATGAAATGCCGTCCATGCTTGCTAATGAAAATAAGCGTTAAGCCTTGTCTTTTTATATTGGTTTGGATCTGCATCTCTCTTTGACTTTTTGTCGAAACTCTTTGATCATTTGTGTCAGTAAAAGCAAATGGTCTAAGACACAGAGAAGTCGTTGTATCACTTTACGTTTCATGACTTAATAGTGATATTGTCTTTTAGCACAATGATAACAGCGATGTAATTCTTTCCACGCACCAGCACCTATCTGTGAACTCATCACATGTTTGCGCTTTTTTATACTCTGGCGAGGGTTGGCAATGACTCGAAGAGATTGACGATAGGGTTTTATACGACTCGCTGTTTTTCTCCCAGGTTTAACACTCCCACGCAATGTGTTCATCACTAACTCACTCACAGCATTAATTTGATCTGCATTCGCATACCGTAATTTTTGTTGCCGCTTATTTTGGTTAGCTTCTTTTAACACATCGTTTAAAAAATGACTCTGTCTAGTCATACGCCCTGTCATGTTTATTTCTTTCTTCGTGTTCGTTGACGTCTCTTCCTTTTATACTTCTTTTTCTCTAACGCTTGGATGGCTTTTCTAGTACAAAATTTTGTTAATGCACTTAAACCTCCTAACGCAACCGCTTTTCCTCCCGCAGCTAAAGCTGGAATCGCTGCGGCTAACATGGGAGCAATCCCGCCTCGTTGCCTTCCTACCCCTTGTTTACCTTTTCTTCTTTTTGGGTGTCCTTTTCGTTTCATGTTTAAATTGGCGTTTGTTGGAGAGGGAACGGCTATTTATATCTTCGTCAAAGGTATGAACACGCGTAGCTCCCTCTTCTTTGGTTAAATGACTCCAAATACGAAAACAGTCATCGGAGCAGGATGTAAATCCAACATAAAATAACCAAAAGGACGGGAGGTCAGTTTTAAAAACAATTTGAGTACTTGACGCCATTTTTCAGGGTACACTTGAAGCAGTAAATGTCGAATTCCTGTCTTATCCCTGGGTGATTTAAAACAAATCACATAGTGCGCATTGCGGTTAATCGTTTTCGCAAACTTGCCTGGGGGAAAGAGATCTTGTGTAATATAAAGAGCGGTAATGCCTCGATGGTGAGAATCTTTTGTAAATAAATCCAACACCCGTTTATCGCTCCACGATTCTTCCATTAAATCATCCAAAATGAGTGTGCCATGATGTTCTGGTTTAAACCATTTGACAAGCGCTCCTTCAGGAGGAAGTCCTTTGTAAAACAAAATGTGTTTTTTCATGCGATCAAATCGGGGTTGCCATCGGTCATAACAATACACTATTTTTTTCGGAGGAGGGTCAAACAATGTTTTTTCTTTGAGTAATTTTTCCACTAATTCACTTTTCCCGCTACCTGAGGGACCCGCTACAATCACACTAGAGGGTTGTCGAATCAGTTTCGCCGTCTGTAATGTTGTACGTTATCTTTTATACCTTTCAGCGCTTGTTTCCCTAAAGAGGCTCCTAATTTGATAAAATTAGGAGAAGGACCAGACAGACCCATGGCAACTCCCTCGGCTATTTTATCTACCAAACGGGGTTTTCGCCTAAATCGTGCACCCCCTTTTTGACTTTTTTGTTTTTTTACTCGTTGTTTTCGCTTTCGGGCCATAGTTGTTGATACAATCGCGGTGAGTTCAACTGAATGAGTAGAAGTATCTGATCTTTCAAATGGGTTTCACCTATTCCTTTTATATGATTTCTTAAGTCCCACCACAACTGAGCTTGCACTAAGCATCGTACAAATTGCCAATGATACCCATCCCACTGATCTGCTGGATTCAAACAGAGTTTGATCCATTCTTGCTTGTGATCTGTCCAATAAGACCATTCGTTTTCTAACAGTGCATGGAGCACTTTTTGAACATCCCCCCGTAATATCATGATAAAAATGACACCGTCAAAAGTAACATACACAATTTTATTCATGAATGAAAAAAGAAGAACGGTTTACATTAGATTGCTCATACTCGGTTACCTCTGTTTTAATGAGACGCTGCAGTTTGTCTGCGACTTGTCTATCATTTAACACTAAATTATTGGAATGCCACTGAGCTAAAAAATCTTGAAAAGAAGCATGTCTGGCTTTTGCTTTTAAAAAGAAAAGTGCATAATGGCCGCAAGTAAAACTATCCATGGCTTGTAAAGTCTGATCACTGCTAATGATTTCTTTCCACTGACTGAACCAAGCTTGTAAGGTAGGGTTTTTGTAGGTAGAGAGCGGTAACCCATAACTGTCAAAAACTTCACAGGTAGTGTGATGTCCAAATCGCTAACCAATGTTCCCCCGGTTGACTCGCTGGATCTGGGTTAACAATGTAAGCATTCACTCGTTTCTTAGACCCAGGGGGTAATTGATTGGCTGGAAACACACCACGAAAATAAGGCCGTAATTCGCGATCATCTTCTGCTAAGTAATTGAGGACTGTATCACTGAGAGGTACGAACTCCATCCTAGCTGTTGATGGAATAAAGAATGCCTCCCCACTGGTCTATTTCATAGACATTTTCATACTCACTCCAAACGACTACCGTCACATTGTGACCTACATTAGCTCTGAAGTCAATTTCATAGCTGACATTCCCCGTGATTTTAGGATTTCTATGAGTAGGATCGTCAGCATCCCCTGGAGCATTGCTAAACATGAACAAGGTACAATTTTTGCCTTGTTCCCAGTCGCTTGGTAGCAGCATGGGTACCCTGTGGTGCTTGTAAGCGCCTGACGCTGTGAGGAAGCGATCATAGCCTACTAAATCTTCTGCTTTGGAATTGCCTGTGAGCTCCAAGGCTCTATACGGGTATTCTTTGCCGTCAATTCGCTGTCGAACTCGGGTGACCCCAAACTTTTCATAGGCAAATGGGTAATGCTTCAGACTTCCATTGTAATTCGTGGAATTCATGAGTCCGATAATGACTTTGATAGGTACCTTGTTCAAGAAGACATTGTCCTGAGACCAACGTGTGCTGTTCCCATCGAACGAATACGTTCGGATTTCACTTCGAACGACTGGGTAACGAACTTTTTTGGTTTTACTTAAACTTCTTTCTTTTTGTAGCCTGGAATACACGGAGGCATGGAGCGTGACTTTTTTCATCCACAATGTGACAAACAAATCATTGTCTCCCAGTGTTGGAATCTTTTTGTTGACAGACGCAGTTGTGTCCGGGGTGCCAAACAGAAACATGTTGCTGTCATTCAAATGCAATTCCAAATCAATCTGCACATTAGGTACCTAACATTTGCCTGTTCTGAACACAGCAATGTGGGGTTTGATGATAAAGGTATGGTACGCTTTACCGAGTAAGCGACTGGTCAGTGCTTTCAGACCTGTTTTTCCATTCCATGCTGTTGGGTTGGGTTCATCATCATTGGCTGCATTTTGTGGGGTTAACTCTTCACGAACATTAAGTTCATTCACCCATCCTTGAGCAGCTAAGGTCGTTTCTCCTTCTTGACGATTATAATTCTGTAGGGTTTCTAGGTAAGCTTTCTGATGATAGGCATTGCTTTGTTCTGTCATCAACACTCCATTGAAAGACACATTCATTTGATTAAAGAGGGAATGCCCAAAATTGTTGACACAATAGACATACTTGCTATTATTGGCATCCGAAGGTGCCCCCTCTCCACTAGAAATACCTTCTGTCCCTGCAGTGTTTAGTCGTACTTTGATTTCCAGTTTTGTTTCATTTAAATCATAATAATCATCTCCTGTCGGTACCGTAAAAAGAATAGGCCGTGTTCCAGTATTAGCAGGTTTGAAAGGAATCCACCGTTTGGCTTCATACCTATAGTCAATGTTGGGAATGTCAAACAGATTCAGTGACATGTTGACAGACTGATAGCTTAACGGCGTTTGCGCCGTCTATTTATACGTTTCCGTCCTTTGTTTTTCCAAGGGTAAATGACTGGATGCACTTTTCCTCCTCTTTGTTTTCTTATTCTTCTTGCCATTTCATACGGATTAGTAAATCGCCAGGGGTTGGGAGGCTGTCTAAAAATAGTGCCTCCCCGTTGATAAGGTGAATGGTAACGACCCACAGGTCGTTGATGTCTTATGCGAGATTGTGATTTCTGTCCTTGTCTCATGGTTTACACGCCTAAAATGTCTTTCACATGTTGTCGTTTCTTTTTATAGGTTTGTTTGGCTTTGCTTTTCACAGCCAGGCCAATAGCGGCGGTATTTTACGTTAGAGTCCTCTTTTTAACACTTCTCCTGACCCTTTTAAGGCTTCGGAAGCTGACGCCCCTTTTTCATAAGCATGTAATCCATGCCCAATCGAGCGTACTACACTGGGTCCCGCTAATTTCACCAAATCTTGCATAAACCCTTTCCCATACATAGTGGGGGTATGATAGCGTGTCAGTGATCCTCCTAACATGTTGTTTGTTGTAATGGTGATGTTTCCATAAGACAGGGTCTCTTTTATACGTGTTGAAAACCAAGGGTAATGATCGTTTTGACGGGGGATAAGACCAGCAAGGACCCATCTGGTGTAGCCAATGACACTTCAATGCTTTCTATGTGTTGATTTCGACCTCGAATCCATTCACGATGGTAAGGTTCTATGGTCGCTCCCCCTTCTCCTTTTCGTTCTAATTCCACTTTTCTTAACAGGGAATGACGTTGTGATCCTACAATGATAGATTCTACAGCATCGCAATAAATCATGACGGCTTGTTTTACAGTTCCCACATATGTATTAAACAGGGCATTTAGATTTTGAAAATGCCAATCCGCAGTACGCGTGAGATACAGATACGATTGACCATTCTCTTGTTTGACTTTGAATAGCGAGCTTCCTCCTAAATCTGCTGGACTAATGCTCACAAAATACTCTCCTAGCCATTGATAGTTATCATTGCTTTTGACGGGTGGAGTGTCTGCTGTATAAGCGGTTGCGGGTAAGACAAAGTCTAAATTGGGGCCTAATTGGTGTTGGTTGTTTTTGTCTTTGAACAATAAACCAAACTTTTCTGCAAAATCCACATGGATCCCTACAGAGGAAAGGGGGCGAATGTTTAGCTGTTTGTCACGAGCAAACACATCTTCACGGGATACTTTTTTCAACACGAGTGTGTTTTCGTTCCATTCAAACGTGGGTTTCCAAGTAGATTTCAGGGAAACAGTGGCTGTATTACCTTTGGTTGTTTTCCAAGTGTCAAAGGATGACTTGACATCTTCCATGATGGTTTGTTCCATATGGGTCAAAATATTCTGCCATAATTGATGACCTGAATAAACAGGATAGGAGCTACCCATGACATCTTTTAAAGTCACCGTTTTGTCTTTGGACTCAAAGTTAATAAACCAATCGCTAGACACTGCATGACGCTTGGTCAGGGTGTAGCGATAATTGAGTATCTTGGTGTCACTATTACTGTGAATGACCGCAGAACTATGTCCTACATCGGGAACAGACACACTCCACAAACTGGCTTGCCAGTTATTGCCTTCTAAATTAAGCCGCACTGGTAAAGGAACTTTAAAATTATTATTTTTGTTTTTGGGATGTTCCTCTGTTGGATCACTGATCAAGGTTAATCGAAAACTCTTCATAGTGTTTGCAAATCTTTTTTCCACACCCAAGAGTTGTATTTTTTCGACCAACCCTTCCAAGACACAAAGACTTGTTTCCCTTTGCGTTTTAAGACGTGATCAATACGAAATAGCGAATCATCCGCTACAAGTACTTTTTGCAGGTCCTCATAATAAAACGTTCCTTTTATAGGAGTACCATCCCATTCCGTGAGTTTATACGTGACCACGGGTTTTGTCGTATAAATTTGTTTGACTAAAAACACTTTCGGGACGAAATTTTTTATTAAGTCTTACTTTATCCCCTACTTGACATTGTGGTTTTTTCACTTTGATGTCTTTTTTAGTATCATATAATCGATACCAAATGTCGATTTGGTTGGACTCGTTGACATTGACTGGTTTTTCTTGAATACTACGGTGAAACGTATGATTATAGGTTTTGACTAAAGCAGGTAACACATCAATATAGTTCAAAGTATTATGAGCAGTGAAATAACGAAACATGTTCGTTTTCAATGTTCGATTCCATCGTTCCACCACCGAGCCGTGAGGATCACCATGGGTTGAAAAATGATTCACTCCTTGTTTTTTAAAAAAGGCTTGCACTTTAGCGTTATAAAATTCACCGCCAGAATCTGTTTGTACTTTTTCAGGCAAACGTTCTAATCCTCTGTAACGCAAATTTCGACAGTTCTACCCATCACAGTACATCAATCACCGTCAGTAAATATTTGTAGCCTTTGTTGTATTTGGCTAGTTTTTGCAAATCCACCAAGTCCATCACAAATTGTTCGTTGATTTTAAACACCAGGGTGGGTAATGTTTTAAAACGTCGACGTCTTGGTTTATGCAGTGTGTAACTTAGCACTTGTTGCAGTTCCTTCTTGGCTTGGGAGACAGGAATTTTGTGTGCTTTGGCAAATTTGGCAACACCGCCCAGTGATCCAGGTTCTGTAGGATCGGCATAAAAAGAAGATAATTTTGTGTCCATAGTACGATAGATACTGTCCTGCTAAATACCAAAATGAATACATGTTCTTGGAATAATGCCTCTTTAAATAGTCAAACACCTCGATTCTTTTTGAAGGAAAGTGGCGATGCAACCAAGTGAGGTACACAGCATAACGCCCCCAGGATGTATGGTTATGATGTATCATCCATTCAAACAGTCTGATAGGTTGACAAGTGTCTTCAGAGCATAGGTCGTTAGACAATCGGCGACAAACCCACACAGTACTTCTATACTGTAGATTTCCCATGATGGAATGACTGTTTTTAAAAACAAATCACCCACTTTATACCCTAACCCTAATCCCAAGGGGCTAGGGCTAATTAACATTTTAACCTTAACGCTAACCCTAACCCTAACCCTAATCCCAAGGGGCTAAGGTTGATTAACATTTTAACCCTAACAAGAAAACAAACCATTCCTTTTCAACACTTTTTATTTAAAACATTAACCATCATTCTTTAAAGAGTCACTCAAAAGATACCAGATCCAAATGTTCTAAATGTTTCATAGGAATAAGGAAGCAATCCACATTTTCTTCTCTCTGCATTGTTTGCATCACATTCTTGCAAAAATCTCTTTTCTTTTTCTTGTTTTTGCTCGTCTGCATGTACATTCACCAATTGAGCAAAAAAACGTTCCTCCACAGGTGTTAAAGGCAATCCCTCCTTCTTTTTCTTGCGGCAATAGGAAGCCAAACTGAACACTTTTTCAGGCAAATAACCAAAAGACCAGTCCTCAAACACCGCTTCAGCGACGGTTGCTTCGTTCTTTTCATACTTTTCAGCTCCAGGAGGAGGTTTCCACTCATCATATTTTTCTGCTATGCAGGCATTTAAGAACTTTTCATCGGCAGGTGACAGAGAATGCCCTTGGCTTTTTTGTTTTTCTAAATACTCGGCTACATTGGCATCCGCTGGAGGAAGATGGTGCCATCCTTTCACACGAGAATTAAACCTATGGTTGGCAATACTCACAACCTCCTTCCATTGCTCTCGTTTCTTGAGTTCCTTGGCTATCTCTGGACTCGACTGAAAGGTGCTTGGCAGAGGAGTGCTCTTCCAAGGATACTTGGTTTGCGCTTTTCTTTGCTCTTCTTGTTTTTTGGCTGATTCAGCAAATGTTTGGGCTGATTCAGCAAACTGGTTCAAACATGACGTTTGAGTTTGGGCATCTTGTTTGTTGTACCAACCATGGCGTTGTTTCCACGTTTCAACATTCGCTTCCGCTTGTCGCATCCATTCTGCTCTGCTAAGGTTTGTCGCATACTTGAGTTTATGGGGTGGTCTCTTATCGATAAACAGCGCTGTGTGAATCCACTGAAAATATTTGCAGCGAGTCTCAGCTGAAGCGGGTGTTCCACAGATTAAGAAGACTTTGTTCAGGTTTTTGGCTGTCTTACTAAGGCGAAGGATAGGAATTCGCGAGCAATGACATTTCAATTCTCCCCATTGACTTTTCACTTCTGCATGCATGTCTTTCGTTAAGGCCTCATACACTTTCAGTTTGTCTACATTCTTTCCATAAAATCTTGGGCAGAGTTTCTTTTCGTCAAAACATGAGAGCACAAATTGAGTGTTTAAAGGATCATCAGGTCCCCCAAAGTCGACATTCATCATCGCATGATCTTCTTACTGTGATTTCAACAAAACATAATCCCAATTTTATAAGACTCCTAAGGTCCCTACGGTATTGGGCAAGACCGGGCAAGAATCCCCAAGGGGGTTAGATCAATAAACACACGTTTTTAATAAGATCAACCTGTTTAATTTTAAACAACAACCAACTTTTTACAATAAACAAAGTGTTTTTAGGGAAATTTAAATCCTCCTTCTTCTACTTTTGGTCGTTTCTCTAACTGTAATCTTGCTTCTACCATGTCATGCATTCGTTTCTTGAGAACTGAGCGAGTAAAAGCTTTAGGGACCTTCAGAGGTTTAGGTGCTTGGTGAATCCACTGAAAGTAATTACATCGGGCTTCTCTCTCCTTAGGGCAGGATAGGAACACTTTGTTTGGATTTCTTGGGGTTTGACTCAGCTTGAGTCTAGGTACTAATCCACAATGACAGGCAAAGGTTCCCCATTGTTGTTGGATTTTGGGGTGAATGCTGCTACAAATGGTATTCAACACGGTCTGCTTGTTGTCTGCATTGCCAAAGTACACAGGGCATGTATAACAAAGAGCAAGCCCTTGTTCAGGCAGAACAAAGTTGGTATGCACAGGTTTGCTTGCATCCATCAGATATTCTTGCAGAGCCAGTTCTTCTAACATAGGTACATCAAATTCCCCTTCCATAGGCCACCATTCTGCAGTTTGACCATTGGGTAAGACAGCAACTCCTTCTTCCGTGATCTGTTGGGGAGCTAGGTCTGGTTGGGTTTCCATGGAACTTGGACCATTGAACAGATCTCGACAGGCTTGCTGCATTTCCTCATAGGAAGGCAGTTGTTTATTGACAATCACTTGAGGTTCTGGGTCCAGGTAATTCTGCATCCTAAACTTATCGCCTGTAGTGTAAAGGGGAACTGTCCATTCTTCAATAAGAGGCTCTGCTTTCTCAGTCCTTGGATCCGTGTTTAGAACTGCTTGAACGACGTCCTCTCCCGTCTTATTTTTGGCTTTTCTGGCTTTCTTCTTGGGAGCTTCCATGTTAAACGCTGGTTCTTGCAGATAACACATAGTCAAAAATCACACAGATTTATACTCACTTGACATCCCTTAGGGAATTGAACATGTTAGGGCAATGACGTCAATCCTGTCACGAACTCACCCTAATCACCCCCTTGGGACTTAAACATGTTAGGGCAAACTATAAAAGAGAGTCATAAGCTCATGTCATTGTTATTAAACAACATGACTCAGCCAAATGACAACTCGTTTTATGTAACGCTGACTAGTCAAAAAACACAGGAATTTCCAGACAATTCACCCACGCAATTTCAATACCGTTTGCCTCAAAGCTTATGGTTTCCAGGCAAATGGAAAGTGGGTTTGGCAAGTGTGTTACCTGGTGCTTCCAATCCCATTCCCCATGTGGTTACAACCCATGTCAGTTCCTCCCCGCCCCAACAACAACATGACATAATTCCTAGCAAACCTTTCAGTATTCGGTCGATTCACAACTTATACAAAGGGAGCGATACCGATATTTTATTTCAACAATATGCCAAAGCTTTCAAATCTAACCAATCTCAAGAATTTTTGTCCCAACTTAAAACAACCGATTTGCAAGATGCCTCCAATGGGTTTGATTTTATGTCCAAATGCCTGCGGTAGATGGAACAGGATTTAAACAAAAAATTACCCACGGGGTATGAATTTGCAGACAGTAGCGATAATTGGAGAATAGATGTTTCTGCTCAAGATAATTACACGACTTGGCTGCTTCGACATTACAATATTAAAAGTACCAACAGAAAAAGTGTACTTATTTAACCATTAATTTGATCTTGGCTAAACAAATTGGATGGGTTGTAGAAACAGCTAACAATGTGTTTGCAGTGGGGCCAAATTTACTCATGGAACTTCCAGATGGTACGACTAGCGTAAAACCAGATCCTACAACCTGTCTCAATGCAAAATTTACATTTACTCAACCCATTCATGTAGTAGATGGATTGCTGTATCTTTGCTCTACGTTTAGTTGGCGCTTTGTGAATTTAAATGAAGCTTTTGACAAAGCGATTCATCAACCCTATGAAACCCCAAAAACTGTTTTGAATGTGTTCAAACCCTGGATGACTAACCTTGCATTATGGAATATGGATCTTGGACTGGACTTGAACGATCAGTTTGTAGATCTCCCTGTCTCTCCCCATTATTGGAAACCCCGGACTCTGAGTGTGACTTTGTTAAGAGGGATACAAATTGTGGATGGTGGATCTCACGGAAAATATACTGGAAAACTGCAGATTGATATGAGTTCGTTAAAGCAAAACAACAGTTACACTGCGGCTTTAGAATGGTATCAAAAAGATGCTTGGCTCTTTAATCGTTCTAACTTTGGTGCTGATGGTTCAGGTTTAACAGTCAACCACATGACAGTTGAAAAACATACTCATGAGCAGAACAAAACACATTTGATTTATTATCACACACTTACTATTCAATTCACTAAAACTTCAAGTAAAGATGCTAAATTAAACATTGAGTTTGACATAGGGTTTCCACTGTCAGCAGCCTACCCAGGTGATTTGAAAGACAACACTTTTTTAGTGTTGTATGGTGTGGATGGGCATGTAGAACAGGTACCAGATGTGTACGATGATCACCCAATCATTCCCTCTTCTCATAAAACCACCGAAACAACGACTACCAGTACGGGGGACAAGAAAGCTTCCAAACATCCTAAATCTCATGGAACAGAGAATTTGCGTCCTCTGTTTTTGTCTTGCAATTTAACTAAAAGCATTGATGGAAACAAAACCATCATGAAGTCTGTCGCTTATAATAGTGAAAAAACGCCGATTGAATGTAACCCCATTCAATTTTATTCCCTGCGGAGTAATTTGGTGGACATTTTAGAAGTGAGTGTGACAGAATGGAATAACTTGATTCCCGACTTCAATCAGGATAGTCCAGTCATTGTTACCCTATTGTTCAAGAAAAAGCTGACAGAGTCTCAACGCGAATACATTAAGCTGGATGAATCATTCGACCGTGACCATCCCATATAAATAGGCATCGGCAACACAGTTCAGTCATTATGTGTGAGATCGAGTGGATCAACGTCGCTAGTAAATCGCTCACTTATTGCGCTCAGTTGTTGCAACAGATTAAACATCTTAAGGAAACGTTGGAGAGACTCCAAGAAGAAGCGGCTAGACTGAAAACTTTGGTTCAAAAACAAGAACAAGATCTAACTGAAAGACATGGGGGCTACGACACCGTCTACTAAATTGGAACAGCTGTTAAAAAAAGTACAGCCTAGTCAATTTGGCTCTTACCAAGAATTTATACGAGCCTTGATGATTGAGGCATTGGCCAACACCAGAGGGTTGTCCAATACTCACAAATAGACTCCATTGGTGTTAGTGGAGTACAGTTGTTAAAACCTGTTGCCTCAATACCACTTTGCTAGTTTCGCGCCTTTCCGCGTTGTTTCGGGTTCTTTTAAACAAGTATGAATTACCAAAAAATAGTGCTTGCGTACAGGAAAGAAGACATTCATATGTCATGTTGTTGTTTGCTCGTGAATCACAATAAACAGAACGAACACGACAGTGACGCGTTACCTTTCAATTTTAATGTTTGTACGATGTTTGTTATACTCGCAGCACCTTGGGATATTATTAGCGCTAGATATATAGGTCGCCCTCGCTTTGTAACTATTAGCGCGTTTCTACTTTGTGTGAAAGCGAACTTGTTTTGCGTGGTTAGCCTATAGAACGAGGAATATTCATAAGAATTATGGCGCGTTTTTACTGTGGTGTAACAGCGAACTTGTTTTGCGTGGTTGGCTTATAGGATGTAACAGTGAACTTGTTTTCCGTGGTTGGCTTATAGAACGAGGAGTATTCATAATAATTATTAGCGTGTTTTTACTTGGTGTAAAAGCGAACTTGTTTTGCATGGTTGGCTGATAGAACAAGGAATATTCATAATAATTATTAGCGCGTTTTTACTTGGTGTAAAAGCGAACTTGTTTTGCGTGGTTGGCTTATAGAACGAGGAATATTCATAATAATTATTAGCACGTTTTTACTTGGTGTAAAAGCGAACTTGTTTTGCGTGGTTGTCTTATAGAACGAGGAATATTCATAATAATTATTAGCACGTTTTTACTTGGTGTAAAAGCGAACTGGTTTTGTGTGGTTGGCTTAAAGAACGAGGAATATTCATAATAATTATTAGCGCGTTTTTACTTGGTGTAAAAGCGAACTTGTTTTGCATGGTTAGCTGATAGAACGAGGAATATTCATAATAATTATTAGCGCGTTTTTACTTGGTGTAAAAGCGAACTTGTTTTGCATGGTTGGCTGATAGAACGAGGAATATTCATAATAATTATTGGTGCGTTTTTACTTGGTGTAATTATAAAAGCGAACTTGTTTTGCGTGGTTGGCTTATAGCACGAGGAATATTCATAATAATTATTAGCAGGTTTTTACTTGGTGTAAAAGCGAACTTGTTTTGCTTTGCGTGGTTGGCTTATAGAACGAGGAATATTCATAAGAATTATAGCGCGCTTTTACTTGGCGTAAAAGCGAACTTGTTTTGCGTGGTTGTCTTATAGAGGGAAGAACGTTCATAATAATTATTAGCGCGTTTCTACTTGGTGTAAAAGTGAACTTGTTTTGCACCAATAGAACCATTGGAATGGCATCATTTTCCATTGGTACCAATCGTACCATTGGTACCAATGGACCATTGGAATTGCCCTGTACCCAGCCAGGTCACATGGGAAAATAATCTAAGTCCCCTTAATGAGATGCATATTCACCAATAGAACCATTTGAACACCAGCATGACCTTTGATCAACTGAATTACGACTTGTTTGCTTTGAACCGAGAGGTATTTCATCAAGTGAACCGAGAAACCACGGCATTTTTTAAGTTATTGGCTAACAAGCAACAGTGCTTCCTTCCTGATGGACCCACTACAGCAAAAGATCAATACTGAGCAGTCCAACAGACTCGAGGAAATTTTACAGCAAATGGATCCTTCGCTACTACAAGGATACAAAAAGTTTATGCATGAACTTATTATACAAGCTATCAGCTATCACGATTTTACTGTTGACACTTTAAACCGTTCTTTATTGGACTTGAACAAAGATGTGATGAATCAAATTGTTCAAAAAGCTCTTTCTTACTGCGAGATGCATGCCCCCAGAAAAGATCAAGTCCTTTGGGATTTGAACATGTCCGGGCAATGACGTCAATGGTTTTCTATAAAACTCACGCTGGTTCTACTCAGCTCCACATAATACGATGGCTTTCACTGTCATCTCTGGTGGCGCCAATGGTGTGGATTTAGAAGCAGAAAAGTTAGCAAGACACTATGGTTTGCCAGTGCATGTACTCATACCTCCTTGTCATCCAAGAAAAGCCTCCATACAACCCTTAACTCATCAACAATTAGCTGAAGCGATTCCTCTCACAACACAAGTGGCTCATCGTCTCAAGAAACAGTTAACCGACCCGATTAGTTTACAGTATATCCACCGGAATTATCATGTCGTGAAACAAGCGGACATGGTGCTGGCATTTACCTGTTCTGAACCAGAAAGAAAAGTTTGCATGGGCGGAACAGGCTGGGCAGTAGAAATGAGTAAAGTCCTCAACAAAGTCGTGTATGTGTATGATGTGGAGCGAAACATTTGGTTGTGGTATAATCCTCACAAAGATATGTTTTACGTCTGTGATCAGATGTCAGAAGAACAGCACGCTTTACCTACACTAGTAAAGAAAACCGCCATCATTGGAGTGAGAAACATTTACGATTACCCTGAGGCTCTTTTAGAATTGCAAGAGACTTTTAAACGAAGTTTAAATCTGCCAACAATAAGCGACAAGGATGTTGAGAAACTTTGTAACCCATTTAAGTTATTAGTTCTTTCATAAGGTTTTATAAATTTCATAAGGTTTTATCTCTTCCATAAGGTTTTATAAGTTAAAGGTTTTTGGTTGCATCTGATAATTTCTCCAAAAGTAATGACACGTTGAGGCAATGGTAATGTCTTGAGTCAGCAGATTAAATCCTGCTTTCTCTTTATCATTTCCTCTTCAAAGGGTTTCCACGTTCAAAGCAGATAAGATTCGGCGTAAATTGTATGCTGTCGGTTTAACCTCTAGCTGGTAAGGGAGCAGTTCCTTTTCAATTTGCTGGAGACTTTCCATCAGCTGGTCAATGACAAGATCTTGATGTCTCACTTCTTTCTTTAAGACTGATTTCGTGATCCCTTTGACTGTTGTAGTGATTGTAATGTTGTAGTGGTTGTAAAAGTAAACTTCTGGTCGATGACTTTACCAAATAATTACTGCATTGTTAATAATAATTCATTACATCAACATAATAAAACATGGTTAAACCGACTACTTTGCTGTGATCTACTGGGAAAGGGCTGATAGTACAGTGGTTTAGTATCTCTGCTTGTCACGCAGATGACCCGGGTTCGATTCCCGGTCAGTCCGTTCTTTCTTAATCTTGCGATGATAGCAAGGTTGGGAAAGACTTTTTTCTTTTACTTAGAACCGAATAAAAACTTTGCGAAATACTTAGAAAACGTTTTAGAACGTTTTTACACAACATGCGCTATTGCGCATGCGTAGTACACAAGACACATTCTGTCCCGCAAGTGTAAGTCATGACCTTGATCCACATATATAAGATCACATTTACATAGTCATAAGTCACTAAGTTCCGAACACTCTCCGAGCGCTCGGCGCCATCTTGCATTTTTGATGAGTCTTAAACAATAGCCTGTCAATCAAATCTGAGAACAATAGCCCAAAACAATAGCGCGGCGGCGGCATCCTTTGAGTTCCTCAGTGACGTCCCTCACTACTCCTACTCACTCTTTCCAGCTTCATGTTTAAATTTGTTCCTTAGCAAGCACAAAACAACAGAACTGCATCAAATTGTGACAGGTTATACACTTGATTGACTGTTCACAGTCTCCTACTTTAAAATTCTTTTCCAAAAGATTGTCAGAATGGAGCACCTACCCTAATGAGTGGCTACCTTGGTTTCGAATGTACCAAGTCTAGCCTGGTGTTGTATGAGTATCAATTCAACTTAGGGGATGGGGGAAAGTTTTGGAGGCGAGAAAAATATTCTTCTTGCCTCCCTCCCCCGGCATATATACACCCCAGTGCTCTTTACCATGGTACATTTGAAACCAGGATGGCTGGGCCCGTTCAGGGTTGTCACAACGTTTTCAAGTTGCCAGGTAAATACAAGAAGTACGAGGGGACTCAAACAGCTAGGGGTTTCTTTTGGTTCTATTTAACTTTTTTTTCCCTTTGAAAGCAGCCGGGGTCACGTTCATAGTAGCCTGGGGAAAATCCCCTGCCCCCGCCTCTAAATGACAGCCCTGGCCTGTTTCAGTTAAAGCACTTGAGCTCAAGGTAGATCTTGACGATCTTAGCAATAAATAGGGGACTTTACTATACTCACCCTGTTGATTTGAATACTACCATCCTTGTTGATTTGGCATACCATGTAGGGTTTTACTTTGTTATCTTTATCACCTACATTTGCACACTTTAACTTAAAGAAAAAAAGACTGTAGTGAGCACCTCTATTAACAGCCTACATACAGCCACCCCCTGCCCTCAGAAAAAATCTGAGGGGAGGGGGCAGCTGTACACAAGCTCCTTTATTATGTACCTATTATACAAAGAATAAAATATTGCATCATTTAGCTCATACAAATTCATGGGTTCAGACCTACTCAGTGGGGATATACACAAACAGGACTCATATGTAACATGCAAGGTACCCTCCCCTTCCTCCCCATTCACATTTTTTTATGACAGAAAGATGCTAAAGGGGTATTTAGCCTGCAAGTTATTGTTACTTTATGCCCCCAGTGGATCTTTTTTTACATCACACAAAAGCCTGATCAGACAAGTGCAGTGAGAAGAAGCCTGCAAGTTCTTGCCATTATCTGGGAAGTCTTTAGTCTCTCTCCAGCCATTTTAGTCACGTCACGCAACACTTCTTCCTAACAAACAGCCATTTGCTGGGGAAGAGCGTTGCATTACGAGACAAAAACAGCTGTGAGAGAGACTACGAAATGTTAAGAATGTTTACTCATGTTACTTTTACTATTTTAGAAAAATCCATGTTTAACTTCCTTTCTTTAGTTAAAGCGGAGCTCTTGCGCACGCAAAGCGCGCCAGCGGAGCACCATAGGTAAGTAAATCTACCCATCCCAGAAAATTTGGTAACCACGTGATCGTACACCGACCGCCCAAATGACCGTCCGTCCGCACCGCAGGCATACCAATGTAAAATAACTCAATCAACAGGTATGGCAACCCAAATGCAGCTCGGTTATTTTGGCGGGAAATCGCATAGCAACCCGCCTTTTGTAAAGCAGACACAACTAAAGAGTCAATAAAGACGAAAACGGAAAGCGGAAATTGTTTCTGTATCCATGTTGTCTAAAGTATTAAGCTTAGATTAATTGTCATGTCCACAAAATTTGGAATATAGAGCAAGAGAAAGACAGAGAAAAAGAAAAAATAGGAGGCAGGGCAGCGAAGCTCAACGAGACAGAACGGCGACAAGGAGCGAGAGATAAAAAAAAAAACAAAAACAAACAAAGACATAGCGGGGGTGACAAAATGAGAAATGCTAGCGGCCACCAATGCAAGGTGAAAATGGGCGGCAGTGAAAAAAAGGTGAACGAGAATACGTACAACATTTCCTCCCCAAAACGTGTAACTAAGAAGTTTCGGGAAGTTTCATGTTGTAGTCGTGCAAAACAACGGCAAAGAAATGTACAAAAAAGTGTGCTGCACATGTAAAGTTGCTCTTTTGCTCAGTAGACCTATTGTTGTTTTTCACCGTTCTCCGGCGTTGCCCTCGCCGCTTCGCATTACACGATTTTATATTTTGTTTGAACAAACTATAAATATTATTGAGAGCTTCGCTTTCAGCCCTGGCTAAATCTATATATTATTAAAACGCCATATTGACACATCTTTATACTTTTATTATTATATTCGCTTATATATTCATCCATGCCAATAACGAAGGGAAAGGCTAACATGTGTGAAAAAACTCAGTAGTTTACAACCCACCAGTAATTTGTTCTGACAGAATTATGTAGATCAAAGTTTACAGTAGAAATTACCTGAGCTTAGTTACATGCATGTCAATATTTTATTTGTATCATATATGTTTGATTTCATTTAAGTTTACTCACCATTACAACAATATTAACAAAGTCATTTTCTCGGAGTGTTTCAAGTAAAGACATTGCAGCAAGTTTAAGAATTGACAATTTTTGACCAGCCATACTACCACTCCTATAATGTTCAACAAATCAACAGAAACAGAATGAAATGTCTACACGAGATAGGTTAATCACAGCACTAAGAATTATACCATTATTGTACATCATACATGTATACCGTGGTGAATCCTCTATTAAGTCCAGAGATTTTGTTTTTGATGTTATCAAGATCAAGAGAGAGGAGACTATTAATTTTAATATCAACAAGTAAAATGCCAGTACCAAACTGCATGGAGATATATTTATGGTCTGACGTTCACTCCTGTTTTGGAAATGGGAAAATGCTCAGTCTTACGTCATATACATAATGATTTATAGAACAACAGATAAATAAGACATTTACTTTGTTCATCTGATGATAATATGTGCACGAAGTGTTTATAGTCATTGTGATCAAAAAACAGATGGCAGGGAGGGGGGTTTAAGAGAAAAGAGGGGCTTACCAACTTTTTTCTTTTAAAAAAGAGGGACTGGAGATACATGTACCAACTAGTCACTTTTATTATAGCTTGCCATTCAGGCAAGCTGTAGCGTGTGCTGGCCCAAAAGACATTTTAACTAGGCCCCAAAAATTCTTGGATGAGCAAAATTGATCACAGTTCTTCTGCAATTTGAATTCCACAAAAAGCTTCACTTTCCCCTTGAGCAAGTTAAGAACAAGATTCAGTAGGACGTATAGCAGAATACTAGGTCAGGGTTATTGGACACTGCTTTTTTGCATGCTGACGGGAGAAGGGGGGGACTACAAGACGGCGAGGTCACTTATTGCACAAACATTAGCCTTAAGCAAGGACGACGACGACGGCGGCAGTGAAAACGTCGCTAAAAAAATGAATTTGCGTTCTTTCAAACTTAATCGCGTCGATTTGGACCCTCCCAATATATGTCAAATGCAGGCGACTTTTCCTGGAGTTGAATTCTTAAGTATTTTATTCAGGCCCAAAAAGATGAAGGGAAATTCGTCGTCGTATGTCCACGTCCTCCATAAAACGTCAAATTAGGAGCTGGTTTTACGTCGTAGTCGTGCAGTGGACGTCAAAGAAATGTGACATAGCTGTTGTTTTAATCATTAAAGCTATGGTTTTTTTGAAGTCGTCGTTGTGGTCGTCGTCGTAGTTGCTTAAGCTCCCCATTATCAAAATAAAAAAGTGGCTTAAAAATAATTAATTTACTGTTCTGCTTCCCTGCATTTATGTCGAGCGCAATTATAATGTAAAAGCAAAATTATAATATAAATTGTTGATATAAAAAGGGTTTAATTTCCACGTTCCCCATGGGAAAAGCTACAACTTGTTGCAGTCCTCTCTCTCCCTCAGTCCTCTGGTGTGAAAAGTCTTTTCTTACAAGAAGGGAATACGCTATTTGTAAATCGCCCTGTCAAACAGATGACTTGGATAGTTAGAAGGGCTTTAAATGCAATATCTGACAGAAATAAAACTGAAACTTAATTTTTCTTTGCTAGTTTAAAGAAACAGAAAATTACCGTCAAAAAAAAAACAAACGTTGACCCTCGACACACATGCTTTATAAGCATAGAATGACAATACTTTTTGGAATTTCCAGTTGGATCAAATTAGTCTCGTTATCCTGTCATGCCAGTTGAAGATAATGCCAACTGTTTCTTGTTTCAAAAGGCTAACTTACCCGTTTTTATTCATAAATAGTGGGAGTTACTATATAGCCCTGACTTAAAAACACACAGTCGGCAGATGAGTGAGCAATGAACCCCCATAAGGCTATTGTAGGTGTCTTGTTCAAGAAATCTTCTCATTCCCTTAATAGAAGAGGACGCTGGGTGCACATTCAAGGGAAGGCCCTTAATAAATAGTGTGGCTGCTTATTTCAGGACATAAATTTGAGCAGGTTTAAATTACTCACAAGTCCAGCAGGAGAACTACATCTTTGGGTGAGCTTGAGCCTTGAATATACCTGAAATTTTACATATGACTTGTAAGAATTAGAACCAGTGATCGATGAACACTTCATGCTCAACCACTGGAACAAAACATTGAAATGAAATTGTCAAAATGAATTTCAGTGGATGTTGAAGCAATGATGAATGAAGATTTGTTGAGCAGGGCTACGCTAATGATTGCTCCAACCATGCGACCAACCAGAGGCATGACCGCGCATGATCGCCAACTATACTTTCATTATTTAGGAAACTATTAAGGAAAAAAATAACCAAAAAAACGTCCTAGCTGTTCAGCTTATGGTATGTTAAAACTTATAAAGAAAGAAGTCCAGCTTTCTTACCATCCACGTCGCCGATTATCAAACACATCTGTCTCACTTGAATCTTGCCACTTAAAACCTTAAATAAAGGAAAAGCAAGATATTAACACAAAAACCTTTACCACTTTACTCTGGCATTGAATAGGATGTTTATTACAATATTTATTGACTATCCTCGAAAAAATAACAATGTGACTTGTTCTTTATAGTACAAATTTATTGCTTTTATACCTGGGTATATCCTATACACTCCATCAGAGCTTCCAAAATATTGCCACAGCAATGTAGGATCCTCTCTATCATTTTCCTTGAAATATGGATCTAGTCCACTTGTCCATTTAATGGTATTCCGGATCTTCACTCCTGTTAATAGAAAGCAAGGACTTTACATTAATAATAATTTTGTTTGCCAAATAAAGTTCGGAACTAAAAACGTTTCCTAAATTCAGTAAAAGAGCTCTAAATAAAATGCCAGTCATCGATCAAACCTTTCTGAGAAAAAAAATAAACAACATTCAGCCTGCAATCAGACATTATGACCAGGAAGACCACAAACCAAAGTCTACAGGCCTGTGCCTATAGGATTTGACTGCCTGTTCCTAACTTCTTATTTTAGGAGCCACAAAAAGCCCAGAAATTTTTCTTGGGTAGCAGCCTTGGAAGATTTGCAATTAATACGTAAAGAAATAATTGAAAACCAAAGCAGTAGAGGACCAAGATGGCGACCTGGCCAAATTTTTAATCATTATTGTACTTTTTTCAAGGAACAATTATTTGCAGCCTTGTTAAGTAATGTATGGTGATGAATTGAACCAGAACATTTACATAACACACGAGCCCACCTCCTTTGAAGACATCAGTAGGAACGTGAACAACACTGCTATTTTTGCTGATGTTAATTTCTGTAGAAAACGTCTCATCAATAGTAAGTGGTAGTTGGCTTGACAGGTTTTTACTCTTGGTATTGTAGTATTGTGGATCCTAAACAATATTACAACGCTTTAAATTAACTCTAATAATCATGATCTATATTTACCTTACTGGTACTTAATTTCCAGGATACCGGATTTCGTGATTATTTTGGGGGATTTATAAAAGAGAATATGAAAAGAGGGCTTTACATTTCACGATTCAAGCATTCTAAATTCCATAATGTTTTACAAAAAATCTGAATCGTTTGAAAAAAATTTGTACGAATCTAGCAATTCAGATGAAGATGATAGATACATTGTCTACTGCATATGTGAAATCAGCTTTTTTAATGTTATTTCTCAACAGAAGATGCAAAATGGAGTTTACCAGTAAAATCACTTACTGTATTTGTCGATGGTCATGTGAGTTGTTATGACATGTTAATCTTTTTTTTTTTTTCAATCTGTGATAAATTTGAATTTTCTATATGGGCATTAAATTTCATGTACTGTTTAAATTTCCTGAGGATTTTTATTCGTGGTCTTGAATTTTGTGATTTTTTTTTACAATTCCATAAAATGCAAATTTTTTGAGCTGAAAATTTAAGTAACAATAAGGTTAATATATATAATTACTAAGTTAACCTGAGATCTAGCTCTACATTCATTTATGAGGCTAAAACCTAGTCAATGCATTGGTTTCTGCGCCAATGTAAAGTTAGGGCATGTAAAGTATCTTTACTAAAGTCATTGTTCTCAATATGCACCATTTATGTAGCAGCTAGAGCTTGGTGCTCTATATGGCTATAATCTGGGTCTGCAATGCAATTTAGTAAACTAGAAAATGACATATGCCATAGCTTTAATTTTACTTACTTCAATGGGATTTTCATACGTGTAATTATGCCTCAATGCTTGAGTCTTCTTTGCAATATTCTGAAACAAGAAATTCCAAAGCTAGCTACATGTTTTTATTAATTATTACCTGACATAAAGAGATTCTCAAATCAATGACAATTGACTAGGTTGGCCACAATAGAGTGTAAAGAAATTGCCAAAAGCATTTCTTGATCACCAAATGATGTCATTGTAGCATGCAGACACCAACCAAGAATTATACAATAAAATATTATTATATAAAGGCAACTAGTGTTTCTGCCTTGCTCTACAATCCAAGGACAGAACAACATAATAAATCTCGGCTTCGCAAGCACTTCGGCCTCACTTCATGAGGAATACACAGAAAAAGGGACAGCAACCAAAAAACACAATTGATGAGGTTACATTAGCTCAGCTGTTTATTGTAGAGCCGCAGAAAACAGTGGAACATTTCATAGGTTTTAGGAAGAAGAAATATAAGCTGGACTTAGATACAACTCCGCAGAAAACAACTGCTATATTGAGGAATGTCTGTTAGACGAAAAAGGTAAAAAGGTAAAGGCACACATGAGCAAATGGCCCACATGGCTGGAGCTTATCCCGGTTTCCTTAGCATGAAGCATGCCTAGGAGTATTGATACTCCCCCCTGAATGGGATATTAGTTCATCCCAGAGCAGTACCCCCCAGGTGTATGTTGCCGGTACCCATTTATACACCTGCACAGCCGCCACCTGGGTGAAGAGAGACAAAGTGGAGTAAAGTTTCTTGTCTAAGAAAACAACGCAATGGGCAAGGCTTGAACCCAGGACATCCAGATCCGGAGTTCTAGGTGTTAACCGGTCAACCACGCATGCCTCAACAAAGAGCCCTTCATATCCTGAATAAACCATGGAACAGGCTTGTAAATGAAGACATTAGTACTTAACATCAATAAAGGAAAACATGTTTTTAAAGGGGTATTTGCAAATTTTGCACTGCCCGGGGACCTGGCATTTGCCAACCACCGGGCCATTTCCGAGCTTTTGACACGCACGCGGTTTCCTATCATAATATAACTACACAGAAGGTTTTACTGGAAAAAAAGCAGATTGGGGAATCTGTCATGGACAGGAATAAATCGTAGAGGGTTGTAAAGGCATGTTCTCGATTTTACATGTATGTTAGCCTGTGCCAGGCTCTCAGATAGTATAGTGGGAACGTATTAAAACGAGCAAAGCGAAAATAAGACGCGCACGACTTGGGAAAGGGGGCGGTGGTGTCTCTCCCCAGCCCCCGCGCGTTTTTCGCATTTCTTACCACTGAACGACTTTCCACCACCATCTCGGAGCCTGGAACAGGCTACATGTATGTATACATTTCTTCATTGCTTATCAAGCCAGAAGTACGTAGTGAAATCGGAGCTATCGATGTGAATCAACGTTTTTTGGTGATTGAATCAAATTTCGGTTGATATTATTTGAAGAACATCCTTTCATATTTATAAAACTATTCACAAAAATAATATAACTTTATCATGTATCATGAAAGTTTCAATTTCTAATTTATTTTTATGAGCGGGGGTCGAACGCACTCGATCACGTCTAATTTTATGGCTGACATGCACCTTTTATTGCCCCCGCAGGGATTTTGGCCAGAAGGCGAAATCCCGAGGGGGCACTCTAGTAACTCGCGGGTATTAAGGAAAGTACTTACAGTTGAAATATACAGTCATACAGTCAAATATAGAAAATATCTCGATTTCCTTGAACAGGGGCCGCGAGGAATCGGTAGGTAATGATGACGTTTCTATTGTTTCCGCCCGCAAGTACGAAATGGTTAGGATGACGTAAAGACAGAAAATCCCGAAGGGACCGCTTAGGTAGATTTTGTGACATTTATTTGTGCAGTCATACTTCGACACTCTTTTGCGTTACGTGTTATCAGTGACATTCTGTGGAGCAGTTGTTTCAGTGAAAGTTATGGACCAAAATTTTAACGACACTCGTTAAGCGCAGAAGAAGTTATAAGGTGCGTCAAGAGCCATTGGGTGCGTATAACTGTGTATATATAAACACTTGGGGGAGTTTGCCAGACACGAGTTCACATATCTTAATGATCACTGGAAACCTTAATTGCCAGATACTCTTTCTCTCTCTTTGACCGGAATAAGACTCAGCCCCAAACAAGCAAGACGAACAACGGCTAGCTTCTCACTCCCAGAACGATGGACGATTACAGAAATTCGCCGACAATCAAATTCTGTGCTGACTTATTCCCTGCTCACTAACCTGAGTTCAGGCTCTATTTTCGTTCCGCTTTGAAAATTAATTTCAGCGGTAGCCGTTAGAGAGAATGTATGAGAACCGCTCAAATTGGGCCTGATCTCAGGTTACTGCTCACAGATGTCCTTCCGCTATAAAGTTTAAAATCAGGGGCACCCAACGAGGATATAGTTCAAAACCACTTAACATACCATTGTTGAACGTATTTTAGTATTTAAACGGTAGATATAGGCATATTTTTATCCCCTAAAAACTTTTCATCTGTTCGGATTTCCTAGCTGAAAGTCTATTGATCCGAAAATTATAACGATCAAAAGTTACCTTTTCGAAAATTTCAGCCAGGCAAGGCTCCCGAAAATTCTAGGTGGCCTTTTTCAGGGTAAATATCCGTTTAAAATGGGTAATTATACCATTTTGTAGATATTCGAAAATCCTAGGAGAGGCAGGCAAGCAAGAAATTTTACAACAAATGTTCCGAAAATTCTAGATCTCAAATCGTCTTCCGAACAGATATTTTCCCGAAAATTGCCGTTTGGTGCCCCTGTAAAATAAGACTAGAATTGATCAAACGTCCTTTTAATTTCTAAAGCTTCCTTTCCGGCAAATACAATGAACTGAATGTAAAAAGTGAAAGAGAAATAGCGAAAAATTCAACTTTCAATTAAATCTTTTCTTACGGTTTAGAATAAACTATTCTCGAAACTGAGAATGTTTTGATCAAAGCTGTGTAAATTGACCTGAAACTGTGCATGGAACCTTGCGTTTCCTGTATTTATCTCACCTATTGTATGGAATATGTGTGAAAACAGGGGCACCCAACGGCAATTTTCGGGAAAATATCTGTTCGGAAGACGATTTGAGATCTAGAATTTTCGGAGCATTTGTTGTAAAATTTCTTGCTTGCCTGCCTCTCCTAGGATTTTGGAACATCCACAAAATGGTATAATTACTCATTTTTAGCGGATTTTGACCCTAAAAAAGGCCACCTAGAATTTTCGGGAGCCTTTTCCTGGCTGAAATTTTCGAGAAGGTAAGTTTTTATCCCTATAATTTTCGGATCACTAGATTTTCAGTTAGGAAATCCGAACAGATGAAAAGTTTTTAGGGGATAAAAATATGTCTATATCTACCGTTTGAATACTAAAATACGTTCAACAATGCTATGTTAAGTGGTTTTGAACTATATCCTCGTTGGGTGCCCCTGTGAAAATCTTCCTTATGAATCGGTATATTTCAAAGAGCTACACAACGAACAAGAATGCTATTGACCGACAATATACAGAGCGGGGGCAGCTGTAGTGTC